TTATTCCATTACTGTGGGCAAATATAATACGAGTTTAGAAAAGTCTTAGACCAATTCTCAATTACGGTCTAAATCAGTGATATAGCGATTTAGCAAATCGCTTTATGCTCCAATGGTCGCAGGTTCGATTCCTCGCACGGTGCAAACATCAAAAAAATCTTCAATACATATTAAATATATATAACTCATGACTGACGTAGTGATTTGTCAACGCACAGCTCAAACCACTGGACGGATCGGGCTGAAATTTGGCATGCAGGTAGATGTTATGACGTAGGCATCCGCTAATAAAGGTTTTTGATTAATTCTACCTCCAAAGGGATAAAATAGGGGATGAAAGTTTGTAGGAAACTTTGTCAATTTTAAACTGATCGGACTGAGACTTTGCACAAAGTTACTATGACGTAGGCATCCCCTAAGAAAGGATTTTGATAAATTCCACCCCTAAGGGGATAATGTAACGCGAGCGAAGCCGCGGGAAAAAGCTAGTTATCTATAAAAGGCTCACACAGTTGTTAGTAACCTTGCAGAAATATAATAGTAATGTATACACTAACAAAGGTTTACACAAGGTTTGTAGGTAAAATAGATAGCAGTAACTATTTTCTTCACCGTACAAACTATTGTTTCCATGAGCTAATAATTGAAGCATTTTTTCCTCCTACTCTAATGCTGTTGACCGCAGCTGGACTTATACCTTCATCGGTCGATAGGGGATGAGTGCAGATGGCACTCCAAACCCGCGGAAGGACTTACGGAGCGGCTGAAGGCCAACTCTCACCTGTGGGATACGACATTAGTCTGAGGGCACCGCTAGGGATTCGAACCTTAGCTCAGGCCGTCGTAATTTCGATCCCCGTTTGAATTGGACGGGGGATCGATTGGAGGAATATCACTGAGCCTCAGATTGAAGTTATCACATACTTAACGAGTAATAGAATAGAATAGAAAATCATTTATTCAAATAAACTTAATTTAAGCACTTTTGAACAGTCATAACAATTTGTTTTTTATCTACCACTCGTTCGGAAAGCTGTCTCATCACAAGAAGAACGAGCAAGAAACTTGTGTGTTGCTCTTTTAAATAATCCTAAGTAAGTTTACATTTACAAATCGAAATAACGTTTCGATTTGTAAATGTAAACAAACAAACTACCAACCAGCACTAATTTTTTGGGTCAAATATAAATATACAATAAGATTAAAAAGTGATTACAAGCAGCACTCGTTCACGAACATGGATGAGCCAGTCATCACTGCGCTCGACAATAGTTAAATAGACATTTTATGAGCATGACTCGACCATATCTACAAAAATTATATGGTATATATAATAGAAATAGAAACAGAAACAGAAACAGAAACAGAAACAAGAGGGTTTTTTTTTATGGATGGTAGTGGGATGGTGCACCCGCCTGCGCTAACCGTTTACACTGGGCATCAGTGGAGGATGATAAGATGAGCATGAGGTCAGGTCAGTTAGCCCATCGTGACAAATTCACCATGAATTTATCAGGATGGTTTCCAGGGGGAACCGCGTGGAGGTCAACCTGACATGGTACATTGGTAGCAATACCGACATGAGGGTTATGTCTACCTACTTCTTTTTCCTGTGGTAAAAAGCATACAATAAATATAGTTTACTTAGTCGTACGTAGTGTAAATTGGCATAAACGTATACTGCAGTATAAACATAAAAAAAAACCACAAAAGAGGTCGTTTCAAATCCGCTAATGAATATACCAATCACGCCACTGAATTGTGCGACATTACTTGTCATTTATAATCTGTCGATCTTTTATTACCTATTGTTTTTATTTTAATCCGCTATGATTATAATAAAATTCTGTATTTTCATAACAAATAAGTATCGTACCATCTGAATAAATTACATTGTTAGTGTCATAACAGATACATCGTATATTTACAAGCAAAGTAAATACAAGTAATGATAAGATTATAGCGTTGTATAATGTCGAAACAAACTCATTACAAGATAACACAATAATATAGTTAATCACGATTTGATAATGACAAGGATAATCCTAACATCTCTAATGCACAGGATTACACAAGTACAACAGAGAGCAAGCCTGCGCACTGGCTCGTCACGTCCATCTAGATCACCACTTTTACGTTTCATTATCAGATTACTTTGACGACCTCGGTGCTCTAGCGATGTAGCACACTGCTTTATGTCCGATGGTCGCGGGTTTGATTCCTCGCACGGCACAAACATTTGTATTCATAAGTATGATTGTTTGTATCGGTCTGGGTATTTTCTATGTATAATATGTATGTATTTACGAAAAAAATTTATATGTATATGTATCAGTTGTCTAGGACCCATAACACAAGCTTTAGCTAGCTTAACTTGGGTCTAGATGGCGCTGTGTGAATTGTCCTGAGATTATTATTATTATTATTACCGCAGTCCACTGCTGGATATAGGCTTCTCAAAAGACACGCCATTGGGCACGATCGTTAGCATTTCTTGTCCAGTCTTTACGTATTTTTTTATTGGGAGGTCTGGTTGTCAGTTGCTAAGACCTGTATAGATCTATTGTGCTCGCCCTTATTCAAAATTCGCTAGCTAGACCCGTGAGGGACAAGAATTGAAGGATATTCTTAGGAGCGATGTTTTTATCTCCTTAGGATTGAGTGTATACTTTACAAAGGAGATATTTCGGTTATGACCTACGTATGTCGTCGCTTTACTTAACTGCTGGAGGGTCTAAGCTACGTTTGGCAATTCGCGGTCTCCACTCTGGAACACGTCTACATCAGCGAGCATCAGTTCTGCGACAGATAAGACCAGTCCACTGTCTTTTCAACTTGCATATACATAGCGCTATTATCTTTATGTAAAATAATATAAACCTTACGGCCAAATGCGGGATAGTGGATAAGTTAAGTGGACTGTATGGAATTAAAATGGGTGCACAGTACGTGCACGACTGTAGAGCGGGTGTATTCTTGCACAGCTGCTGCACTCGATGAATACTAAGTTTAACAGACATGTCCAAAATCAAAGTTCTTTATTTTAATGTCAATATATTATAGTAATTAATTTAAAGCAGGACGAGCTGTCGCCATTCGGTCTTAACTGTTAGCAGATGAGGTTGGGCCACCTCAATTTCCATACTTGCGGGAAAGGGATGAGGATATGGGTAATAATACCATACCACTCGATGTTTATAAATGGCGTGAACACCATATATTGTTGTTTTACCTTATTGCTTTAATAATATTATTTATTAGCGAAGCAAATAGAGGCAGTATAATGAATAATAATGATTCTCCAAGAAAACTATTATTATAAACGTTGAATAAACAATGTACTTGTTTACAATATAATACGAAGAACCATATAATAGGACGCTACAATGATATTAGTCAAAAGATAAGGATGCCTCCCCGCATCCTCTCACAGAGAAAGAAGGGAGAGATTTTTCTTTCTTAAGGATGATAATGGAATGGTGCACCCGTCTGCGCTAATGAGGCATGAAGTCAAGTATATTTATATCTTTAGATCTAAAACTGAATCTGTAGCGCATCAGAGATGTTTGCAGCAGCGCGGGTAGCTGTTCAAAACATAATGCGCAATAGAGCTGCATCACTGATGTCGAGAATTCAGGGGCAAACAGCATCCTAACAACTATTGCAAATATATCAGATTGCTTCTGGACGTGGACACAGATATATGAATTAAGTGTGCAAATATATAGAAAATCATTTATTCAAATAAACTTACATTGAAGCACTTTTGAATAGTCATTACATTTTTTTAATCTACCTCTCGTTCGGAAAGCTGTCTCACACAAGTCTCTGTCACAAGAAGAACACAGATATATGAAATAATTTTATTATATCATTTTTAAGTTTAAGTGTGTGAATACAAACCACCAATTAGCACTAATTCAATTAAATACTCAAAAAGAAAAAATATAGAATACATAACCAACTGGTTAAACAATTAATAAGAGGAAATCAGTCATAGTGTAATAATGTAGTAAAACTATTTATGACTGGAAAAATGTATATTATTATGGAAGACTGTAGAGAGTGAAGTGACGTATTATATAATGTTGTTTTTATAGTTTTGATTATAGAATACAAGAAAACTTTAAATATATTAATATCAAGAAAATATAAATATATTAGTTTCTCAACAATGTCTCTGTATATTATAATTTACTAACATAGTTTATAAGTTGTTCACTAATACAATATGGATGTAAACCGAATTAAATAAATAAAACCGTAATATCGGTAGCCTAGTTATCATGTTTCGATACAATGATCACAGATTTAAGTTCTCCATAATGAGCACTCTCCGATAAGCTTTCTCTCTGTATTCACACTCTGTGACAGGTTAGGCCTACGTGACGTGGTTGTGAAATTACCCGGTTTTAGGGTAATCCTTCTATATCTGGCAATTAATAATAACGGAATTAAAATTAAACAGCTATATTTGAACTTTGTATTTTGCTTATGGATTAATAATGTAATTATTAGGCGTTATCCAATGATAATTCGTGTCTATGCTTTTTAACCACAATATAGGTCGTAAAATATGTATTGTTTATGATATGTCACAAGTCACATGTTGTGTTTTAAGTAGGTATCTAAGTATTGGAGATCTTTCCTTTGACAGCCTCGGAGGTCTAGCAGTTTAGCACACTGCTTTACTTCCGATGGTGGCGAGTTCAATTCCTCGCACGGTACAAATATTTGTATTCATGAGTATGACTGTAACGGTCTGGGTGTCAAGCTACTGCTACTAACTGATATGAATTTTTGTAGAATTTTAGTAGAAGAAATGTATTTTTTTTTGTAAATACATAAATATTGTACATAGGAAACACCCAGACCGGTCCAAATAACTAAACTCATGAATACATAAATACTACCCGGGCCTTCAAATACATTAATAGATATATATGTTGCAGTAAACAGTTGATAAATAAAAAAAAATTACTTTAATTTGAAATTCGTACCCGCCGCAGTCGGTGCCGCCGCTCCAGGTTCTCGAGCCTCCTCTCCATCTGCGTCAGCTTATTCCTGAAATCATCTGCTATACAGCGGCATAAGCTCAACGATTCTCCAAATATTCGCATTTTGCATTTCAGCTCTTCAAAATCTGTGCGAAATCTGGAAAAGAGAGGTATTCATTTACACGAATAATAATAATAATAATCTCGATCATAATAATAATAAGAACCTCGTGAAAGCCGAAACTGAGAAAAATAGAAAATACTCGATCTGTAAGGGGTGATGTCCACCGAAATCATTCCAATCGTCATATCGGTGAACGGTCTTATCCCAACCAGTCTGGAGCAACATCTCAGACGGTTGGGATTCCGAGGCGGCTCATTCCCGGGAAAGAAGCAGGTTTCTCTCCCTGGGGCCCTGAACCCCGGCTGACTGTGCTCCTGCCTAGATCTCCTCTCCCCAAGAGGGGAGATGAGAATTTTTGGAAAAGAAAAAAAATAATAATAGACAATTCACACAGCGCCAGCTTGTGTTAAAGCTTGTGTTACGGGTACTATGAGTACTAGATAACTGATACAAGTACACAGAAATCACCCAGACCGATACAAACAATCATACTCATGAATACAAATGTTTCTGCCGTGTGATGAATCGAACCCGCGACCATCGGACGTAAAGCGGTGTGCTAGACCGTTAGACCACCGAGATCGTCACGAATTCTAAATTCTAAATTCTAAATATCTTTATTCATGTAGGTCTATTACAGACTCTTATGATATGTCAAATCTACCGTAAATGGTATAACAAACCCGCTTGTTACGGGTACAAACCTAAAATCCATACAACTACCTACTTGTAGTTACACAAATCGGCATGAATACAGCGGTTGCTCTTGGAAGGTATGTTCCAATACTTACCAACAGTTGATGACTCAAAAGAGCGACGTCCAAGAAGTACAAAGGAAGGAGAACAAAGGAACGCGAATAGGTTAATGTAGCTATAAGTTGAATCAATCGCGATTCCTAATTGTAATTCTTTTTCTTTATCGATTCCTCAAGACTGAGGGTCGTGACCAGGAATGCTTCTTCCAACCAAAACTCTCCAGGCATTTATCTTGTGCTAAGTGGACCACTGACTGTATATTTCCTTTGACGGCCTCGCACCGGATCAGTCCAAGGTGCTGGTGCCCTACCTCTGCCCATTCTTCCGTTCACTTCTTACCGTCGTCCGTCTAATTGTAATTAGAAGTAATAAATATTTAATTGAATTTATTTTGTCTTTTAAAATCCCATCACCGTCAGAAATTAATGGATTATTTTTAATTGATGATAATGAAATGGTACACTACCTTATGCAAAGGTTAACGCTGACGAGGTATCAGTATAGGAAGATAGGAACTTATAGCCGGTCGAGACAAATTCATCAGGAATTATTAATATGGTTTCTATGTGAAACCGCGTGGAGGTCATCCTGACATGGTACATTGCTAGTAATGGGTTCATTAGTCCACATTACTAACTTCTTTTTACCCCTTCGTTTCTATAAAGACACAAGGATAAAAAGAAGTAAGAACTCAAAAAGTACCCTGGAAAGTTATTTACACCACAAATTCAATAATACTACTATATAGTTACACTCAGTAGGTATGTGGAGGGAGGGGGTATTTTTTTTTATGTATGCTAATGGAATTGTGCGCTTGCGCTAACGGTTTACGCTGGCGGGGCACCAGTGATAGAAATAGAAATAATCTTTATTCAAATAAACTTAATACAAGCATTTTTGAATAGTCACATTTTTGTTATTCTACCGCTCATTCGGAATGCAGACTCACACAAGAAGAAAGAGTAAGAAACTTGTTTGACGCTCTTTTAAATAAATGTTTCAATTAGATGTATATTAACAAGGATTAGGCAAGCGATTAACATAGAAACCGTTACGCACTTACCAGTGGAAGATGATAAGATGTACACGAGATCGCGTTACGTCGTGACAAATTCACTAAGATTTATTGTGATACTTTTTAGGGGAGACCGCGTGGAGGTGGTTGACCTCATGGTACAGATGTAGCCAGTGGCCTCTTGGATGTTACCCACTCCACGTGGTCGTTGTTATCGACTGAATTTGCATTCGGAATGTCAGGGAGAAAAAAATTACTTCAAAAGTTACCCATTTATTTTGCATGTTTCTTTTTATATTACTGTACTTTGTGTGTGGAACACACGGAAACTTTTAACGGAAATAAAAGTTTTATCTATCTATCTATAGTTAGAAGTAATATCAACGAAGTCCTCCAGAATGGTTGTAACGTAACACACGTTAGAAACGAAGTGGTCTCGGACAGTGCGGTTTCAGAGGAGCGTCCTCCCGCGTACACTCAGATTGTGGAATGAACTACCTGCCGAGGTTTTCTCACGAGACTACAGCATGGGGTTTTTCACGCGCATGTGACATCTCTGGTGTCTCAGGCGTCCATAGGCTACGGATATTAACCATCAGATGGGCCGTATGCTTGCTTGCCACCATAGTAGTATAAATAAATAATAATGTATTTACCGTGAAATGGATGATGAAAGAGATGTATTGGATACAGATGTACTGGTGGTTGAATTGGTTGGTGACAAGATCGAACCCTCTGCAGCTAGCCGTCGTACCCTGGCGTGCTCTTGCTGCCCCATCGCGCTTCCTTGATCTTCACTTGACGTTGATGTGTCTTATGAAACAAATTTTCCACGACTTTTTAATGTATCATAATGGAATCGTCAAGCTGGTATCACCATTGGCGATCACCACTGGCTGCACCATTCTATAAATCTCTAAAAACAATTTCCTTCCAGTTTCACTTCGAGTTTTAGCTTGTTAGCCAAACATTAGCAGGAGAACACGTAAAAATATAAAAGAAGTATGGAGATTTTAATAGCTAGGATTATATTACTTACCTGTATATATATGTATTTTGGCTTTGGAACTGAACAAATGTCTTTTCATTTTTGGTGAATGTAAAAAATTTAGTTAAAAAAAACGGAGATTTGTTAGCTCTCAAATGTCGCGTCGGTTTGACAAGAATTTAGACAGTTATGAAGTAGGTAGGTACATATATGTCGGTAAATATGTAATTGTCAAATTGAAAATCTGCAACATATCTAATAATTAGTACCATATAAAAGTAATTTCAGATGGTATAGTCCTAAACTATTCACTTTAGAGTAATACCTACATTATTATAACTCCGTTTAGTAGAGTAACAATTTATTTTATTTAAAACATAATCGTTGATTGTGTTTCGTTTAAAATGTTTCTAATATATTTGTAAGTTGGTGGAATTTAATTTAATGGAATAAAGAGTAAATGTAATGACTGAATCTTTATGAATTTAGTGAAATTAACAGCGCCATCTAGTTTATTTTTGTAATAATTTAATTTTATGAAACAGCGCCATCTAGTATACTTTTGTAATAATTCTTTCGTCTTTGCTTTTTGTTAATTTAGCATACAAATGTTAACTACAATTGAATTTACAGCACTGCTTAAGCACCTTAATAATTTGACTATTGCTCGCTAGATGGCACTAAATATGAAATTGCAGGCAGTTTTCAGAATTTATATATTGAATATAAAAATATATTATAACAATACACAAATTTCTTCAACTATTTAGTCAAATCATATAATAATATGCCCATTAAATAGTGTAATATTGCATATTCTTTTTAATTTTGCAGCAGTTCACCACATAATGTAAGTTTCGCGGGATTTTTTTAGTAATCTTTACATGCAGTTCAAAACAGTACATTTCCAGTTAATTGAGAAAACAATTGGCAATATGTAGAATCTAGTAGCAAAAGTACTTAACTTTTTAGTAAACATATAGCTACATTGTCTTAAATAATATTTGCGATCACAGTTGGCATCATGGGTATAGAAAAAAATCGTTGATTCTTTAATGATGTAATCTACGTAGCAAATATTCTCTACAAAATGTATGTAAATATATAAGCAAATTAATTTGCAACCATATAAAATGGCTTCATTACTTAGATATTAAGTAAATTATAGAAATAAGTCAATGTCTGTATTTTCAATTGGGCATTACCACAAATAACATAATATGGTATTATAAAAAAATCAATACCTTATTATATACCTATACTAGTTGTGACCACGGTTTCACCCGCATGAAATTTATAACCTATATGTTATTCTGATGTATAAGCTATATTACTGTAAAGTTTCATCAATTGCCATTCAGTAATTTTTGCGTGAAGGAGTAACAAGCAACGTTCCATACTCACAAACTTTCGCGTTTATAATATTATTAAGATAAGATGTTTATTGCTCAGTATCTGCTTTTTTCTATTAGATCTGGGATTAAAGTTATTTTGTAAATTATTAATATTAAATAAAACCACTCTTGTATATTCGTAAAGTATCTCCATTTTATTTCAATTATTTAATACTAATTGTAACAAATTATATGTATAATAATCAGTGAAAATACATTGACTAAATACTTTTGCGTACGACAAAATTTTATATAATATATAAAACTTATTATTATTTTTATACAACTAAAAAACCGATCGAATTAGATAGTCGACCATTTTGGGCAAAAAATTCCAATATGGTCAAAAATCTAATTTTTAAAATGAATTCCACATTATACCTTATTTTTACTTACATTTAATTATTTTAATTTTGTTAACAATTTTTTAACACAACGAAGGCAAATATTTATATAAAAAAAAAAGAAAATAAGATGGCAGTTGTGAAATTTCAATATAAATACACGAAATAAAATAACGATTACAAAAAAAAAACACAAGAAAGTCATGGAAGAGAATGAAATAATAAAAGCCTACCTATTTACAGATTTTCTTTTACATTCATAAATAGTCTTTAATATATATTTCATATCTTTAGACTGACATCAGTCGTTCAGTTTCGGTAAGTGTTGCCAGTTGCAAAATTTCGTTTACCGTTCAGGAACTGGCGTCGTTTTTTGTACTTTCAATTAATATTCGACTTTAGAATTACGATAATATATGTATTACAAAAAAAAAAAGAATTTTTATGGCACGATTAACCCCATAATTTTTGTAACCAATTTAAAAATTATTTGTAAGACTCAAGCTCACTTCTTGCCGTTCTGCAAGCACTTGCATTGAGCGTTATGTGTGTGTCCTTTGACTGTTTCCGTGAATGATGGGTTGAAAGATACATTCGGTGCCGCGTACTGTGGGTTCGTACCGCTTCCTGAGGTCTCGTAAGTTATAACTCGGGGCTTAGTCGTGTAACTGAACACTTTGGGCTTGGTTGTGTAAGTGAAATATTCGGGCTTAGTTGTGAAAGTTACGATTTCGGGCTTGGTTGTGTAAGTCACTACTTTGGGTTCGGACTGGAAGATCTTTTTCTCTGTGTAAGTGGCCGTAAAAGTATTGGATACAGGTCCAGTGCCTTGTACGGCGGCACTGGACGCGCTGTTCCCACCAGACTGGTACTTGCTGGACCCAAATTGTCCTACGGAACTTGTGAATTGGTTCTGCCCGACCGGCAATTGGGCTTGGAATATATTTTGGCCACTTTGGAACGAGCCTTGGCTACCTTGGAGCTGACCGCCGATGTGCAATCCATTTTGAACTCTATTCTGATCAGATTGGAATCCAGTGTTTGATTCGCCGGCGATTCTGTTTGTTGTAAGTTGAACGTTGAATTGGTTTTGACCGAATTGTCCAGATATGCCTCCTGCCTTGGTGCCCCCGATGAATGGAGTTCCCCTGCCACCAGAACTGACCTGGCCTGAGTATCTGTTGCCGGATTGCGCATTACCAGCAAATTGAGCGAACCTGGCGCTCTCAATCAGACCGATAGCCCATTGGTACCATTCTAGATCGAATTTGTAGAATCCAGCCACTTGGTTGCCGGGTTGACAGCCTGTAATAGAAGAAATTCATTAATTGTAAATGGGTTTTCAATAAATTCTGTTTGGGATTGTAAAGATTTAGAATTATTTTTCGGCATATGGGTAAAGTATAATAATAATAATCCTGGACAATTCAGACAGCGCCATCTATTGCCAAGCTCAGCAGAGCATGCGTTATGGGTACTAGACAACTGAATGATTTATTTAGGTACATTTTTTATAAATACATACATAATGTACTTAGAAAACACCCAGACCGGTACAAACTATCATATTCATGAATACAAATGTTTGTACCGTGCGAGGATCGAACCCGCGATCGTCGAAAGGCAGTCTAGTATTTTTGCATGTATCTGGAGAGCAATGAATGGTGACAAACAACCGCGTATGTAGGTGAACATACATGATTATCATTACTGTCATCACGTTATCATGTGATGCCCATATATATATGTATATACTCATGCATTGCTATTACTCAGAAATACCTCTGTACCCCTGAAATTTCACTATTATACCAACTATTCATACCGGAAAACGCTGTTTGGAGACTAGAGGAACTTCAAAAACTATGAAAGACTGGAGTCTCCTGGCACATACTTTTTTATGCTTAAAAGGAAGCTTCAACAAATGTATATATAATTTAGTAATAAAAATTCTTACCTAAATAAAAAAATTTGTATTTTAAAAGAGGTAAGAAGAAGGTTGTAAAAAGTCACGTTCCTATAAGAATGTCTATACGTATTAAACATATATTGTTTTATTTTCTTTCTTACCTGAATCCCAGGAATAGACGCCTCTAAGAACGTAGTAGCCGCTTGTGGTACAGGCTAGGGCGCTGCCAATATCGACCTTATGGACAAAAATATTATATAGAAATAATCTATATTCTATTAATAAACTTAATATAAGCACTTTTGAAGTCATATTTTCCTACCACTCATTCAAAACGTAGACTCATCAGAACAACGAGCAAGAAACTTGCGTGTTGCTATTTTAAATAACAGTTGATCTAAATAAATACACATTAAAAAGGACTAGGCATGCGACAATTTACATAGAAACGGCTACGCATTCAATAGTTGTTGAATTAGATACAATTGTCAGCGCTATGAATTTTAAGTTACATATTTTCTACAAAAACATTATTGTCGTTTATAAACTCCTTCATTTTATAATAAGCTTTTTTTTACAAAGAATGTGTCCTATAAGATATTTACATATCTTTTTTGGCAGATTAAGGACAGATTCTGGCAGTCTGTTGTAGAACCTTACGCAATTCCAATAAATCGAATTACTAACTACTACTAACTTTTAGTATTCGCTTTATATTTATATGTGATAGTGGAGTTAGATGAGTTACTACTAACTACTAGTATAAACTAAAAAGTATAACGGGGGGGGGGGGGGGGGGGGGGGGGTAGAAAGGCGACGTCCAAAATATATATATATATTATTTATATTATTAACCGGGTCTTCTCTCTCTCTAGTCGAAACGTCGAGAGAGGTAAATACCTTTATTTGCCATAAAATTAATAATAATAATAATAATAATCTTAGGACAATTCACACAGCGCCATCTAGACCCAAGTTAGCTAGCTAAAGCTTGTGTTATGGGTACTAGATAACTGATACAAATACATAGATATTTTTTTTTTTAGTAAATGCATACATATTATACATAGAAAACATCCAGACCGATACAAACAATCATACTCATGAATACAAATGTTTGTGCCGTGCGAGGAATCGAACCCGCGACCATCGGTTGTAAAGCGGTGTACTAGACCGCTGGATATATGTGTATATATATATATTAAGGAAAGAGATGCCCTCGGCATCGAACCTGCTAGCTAGCGGGTCATCTTGATTGTAATACAGGATAACACTGTCAAGAATTCTTACCTTGCAGATGTTGTTTGTAGGGTTGGTAGGCTGGCCACAGGCGCAGCTCTCCTGGTCGTACTGCTCCAGCAGGTGAGGGTAATCCTGGGACAGCTTCGCCTGGCATTCCCCAGGGTTGATCAGGGAGATGTTCACGCTGTGCAGAATGCTGCCGGAAATGTGGGCTGTAACAATCATGTTATAGAGTTAATTTTCGTTCACACATCAGTTGGGTTTATATGACTATCTTTGTATATGAAAACTAACTGTCCCACGACTTCGTCCGCGTGGAATTTGACTTTAATTTTCTAAAATAAAAGTAGGCTAAATAAAATTGGTGTGTCTGTTTGTAATATTGAAATAACCGTTTTTTACTACATGCATATGAATATAAATACGGTACATACACCAAAATAACATTTTTTAAAATTTTTGTCAGGCTGTCTGTCTGTTTGTTCCGGCTGATCTCGAAATGGCTGAAACGATTTTGATGGGATTTTTTTAGGTAGCTGATGTAATAAGGAGTAACTTAGGTAACTTTTATTTTAGAAAATGAATGTTAAATTCCACATATATCCATATATTTGACTTGGACAAAGAATTAGTCCAGCCATTCAAAGAGGGAACGCTGCCAGTATCTTCGGAACGTTGCCTAAAGGGACCCCTTTTAATAATATATTTTAGTCAACATATTATATATTTTTAAGCCTTTTAATTATTGCATGTAGTTGTTGATACAAGAGATAGGGGTGACGTCACAAAGTAGTGCGTTCTTACATCGAACTTTGAAATTGAATACGCAAAATTTATGTTTAAGTCAAATATTAATTAGAGATAGGGATGACGTCACAATATATCCATATATAATTGAATATGCAAAATTTATGTTTAAGTCAAATATTAATTAGAGATAGGGATGACGTCACAAAGTAGTGCGTTTTTAAATCGAAATTTATAATTGAATATGCAAAATTTATGTTTAAGTCAAATATTAATTAGAGATAGGGATGACGTCACAAAGTAGTGCGTTTTTAAATCGAAATTTATAATTGAAATATATTTTAAGTCAAATATTAATTAGAGATTATATATTTTTAAATCGAAATTTATAATTGAATATGCAAAATTTATGTTTAAGTCAAATATTAATTAGAGATAGGGATGACGTCACAAAGTAGTGCGTTTTTAAATCGAAATTTATAATTGAATACGGAAAATTTATGTTTAAGTCAAATATTAATTTAAGGTTTATTTGGAAGTTAGGAAACAATTATTTTTGACAATGAAATAATAGAATTGTGTACATAAATTAATCAACATGTTTCTTTTATTTTACAACACTGATAATAAGTCTTATATTGATTTCCGTTGTCATCCGCGAAATAAACGATCGCTTTATAAAAACTAAAATATACATACAGTGTTACCTTCATTGAACATAAAATACAATTTATTATCTTCAAATAACAATTTAAATGTGTGTAAAGGTCGTGCTCGACGTAATCGCTATTAATATTAAAATATCAGAGATAAAATAGAAAATTAAAAACCGATGGTTAAGGCGCTTCGCCTTGATAGTCATCAATGACACAACAGACCGAATACGTACGGAATATATTTATTTACTGCCTGTAGCCGCGACTTCGTCCGCCTGGAATTTAACTTTATTTTTCTAAAATAATAGTAGCCTAAGTTACTCCTTATTACATGAGCTACCTGTCAAAAAAAGGCCTGTCAAAATCTGTCCAGCCATTGCAGAGATTGCCGGAACAAACAGATAGACAGACAGACAGACAAAAAATGCAATTTTGGTATTTATATTCGTATGCATGTAGTAAAAAACGGTTATTTCAATATTACATACAGACACTGTAATTTTATTTATATGTATAGATGTATAGATATGCTAGTTCAGAATATATTTATTTATATACTAGTACTAACGTATTTATTTACTTTACTGCGATTTTGTTGCATGGAATAGACGATAATTGAGGAATTTCCATTTCATTCCCTATTTTATTTTACCCCCTGAAGGGTAAAATTCATACGGCCTTTGAATATCATATTTATTTACATTTAGACAACCTTTCTTCAAAATGTCCCTTCTTAGGGTCTAGACCAGTGGTTCCCAAACTGTTTTGTGTCTTAGACCCCCATTCGTACCTGGTATTTTGTATAAATTTCTAACTGTAGTAAAGTTTAGTGTTAAAAACAAGATGACCGATGTCGTAGACCCCTTGCAGTTTGTCATAGACCCCTGAGGTCGATATAGACCGCTTTGGGAATCACTGATCTAGACTATCTACATATATATATATATATATCAGCGTATAGTTAACTTCGGAGCCTAACTTCAAAGGGGTGAGGGAGACGAAAAGTGACAAAAGGCTTTCCTTTTGTCACTTTTCGTCTCCCTGGGAGGGAGACCTTTGTCTCCCTCCCCCGTTTGAAATTAGGCCCCGAAGTTAACCATCATATCATATATCTAACATTATAATAATTTTTAATTATTTTTTTATTTATACAATGTTTATTTGAGTTATACATCTTAAGTATGACTATTACAAACAATCATTGTAATCGTCGCGGCACATCGAGGCAGAAAACCTAAGATACTGGCAGCGTTGCCTCTTTGAATGGCCATACTTAGCCTTTGGGGAAAATAGCTACCAGCTCTCGGGTCACAAGTAACCTCGATTAGCCGCGCTGAAATATACGTTAAAAACAATTTGTCTTCCGGGCTCCACGGGCCTCCAGATTCGTATATTTTCGTAATTTTTAATTATTTATGTCATTTTTATTAAACAAATAAATAACTCCGGATAATTAACACAGCGCCATCTAGTCCCACGGTAAGCAGAGCTTGTGTTATTAGTACTGATATAAATATCATTAATCATTAATACATAGAAAACAGCTAGACCGATACAAACAATCAGAATCATATATACAAATGTTTGCACCGTGCGGGGAATCGAACCCGCGAGAAGGATGTAAAGCCATGTGCTAAACAGCTAGACCGTTGAGGTCGTCGACAATTTTTATTTGCACATTTTGACCTATTCTGAACACTTCCTTTGCTACGCTGTATTGGGTGGCTCGGAAGAAATCTCTAAGAGATATGTCTCCCTTCTTTGTTAACATTATTTCTAATGTTATGGATATATAATTAAATAATGTATTCAAAGTGCTATAAAAATATAATAATATAGTATACTGGCTGTCCCGGCAAACGTTTTGTCATATAAATTAATAACGCTATAAAAAAAATAGGGGTTGGTGATAGAAGGGTGAAAATTTACGATTGTATGTATTTTTGTATGTTGTATCATAAAAAAATAGAATCTAAAAATTTTGTCTAAAAAACAAAATAATAAATTTAGGGGTGGACTACCCCTAACATTTAGGGGGATGAAAAATAGATGTTGGCCGATTTTCAGACCTACTTAATACGCTCACAAAATTTCATGAGAATCGGTCAAGCCGTTTCGGAGGAGTATGGGAACGAAAACTGTGACACGAGAATTTTATATATAAGATATATATATATAATAATATAAAATATAGTAATGTAATATAATAATCTAGTTCGAAAGTATATCTGTATGTATGTCTAGCTTAATAAAGTTTAATATAGATATACTGCATCAAGAACAGAGAGACTACGCTTAGGCTATACTACACGGCATGAAAGTTTGTGCAGGTGAAGCCGCAGGTTGTGGCTAGTGTCAAATAAGACAAAGAAATTATTTGTGAGTACACGTAAGTAAATGGCCTTGTTGAAATTCATTATTTGTTGACGACTGAATGTGAATTGGTAAGAAATCGCATACCAGCTGTACTCGTCACAACCGTACGTGTCTGTACATTGAAATAAATATGTATAAAAGTTACATAATGTGTGTAAAAATATTTAAAAATAATATTCTAGAAGTGCGTTGTAGTGTAGCGGTTTACTTCTCCGAAATTAGAATAGAATAGAAAATTCTTTATTCAATTGAATTTAAATATTTATACTTATTTTTTTATTTATCTATTTCTAAATCGAGTTCGATTCGGTTCAGTTCCTCGCACGGTACAAACATTTGTATTCATGAGTATGATTGTTTGTATCGGTCTGGGTGTTTTCTATGTACAATATATGTGTGTTTGTACGAATAAAAAATCTATGTATTCGTATCAGTTATCTAGTGCCCATAACACAAGCTTTAGCTAGGTCAATTTGGGTCTAGATGGCGCTGTGTGAATTGTTTTGAGAATATTATTATTATATTATATTGAAACATTACGAAGATTTCTCCGTTTCGAAAGGATCGAGTTTGTTGATTCAGTTTCTTCACTTTTAGACGTTATAATCTGGTCGTCCTTATCTATATATATAAATAAAATTGGAGTGTCTGTTTGTAATATTGAAATAACCGTTTTTTTACTACACGCATATGAATATAAATACGGTACATACACCAAAATAACATTTTTACAATTTTTGTCTGTCTGTCTGTTTGTTCCGGCAAATCTCTGAAATGGCTGGACCAATTTTGACGACACTGTTATTGCCAGGTAGCTGATGTAATAAGGAGTAACTTAGGCTACTTTTATTTCAGAAAAAATATTTATTTTAAAAAAATAAAGTTATATTCCACGCGGACGAAGTCGAAGGAACAGCTAGTTGCAAATACAATTGGGATAGGTATAGTAATAATCATATATATTTACAGTTTGATATTCAACGGAAAATTTTACTTGAATCTTTCTTAATTGTATCTATAAGTATTGTCAATTAACTTTGAATTTTATTAACTTGTGTCACGATTCCAAATGCAATAAATATCAATTTCCAAGTTGCATTATGAGGATCTTTGAATATACCTAAGGTTTGATCATGATATTAGCCTGAGATTATAATACTTATTTATTTAATTAATTAACATATATTTACATATTATTATTGAATTTGTACTGAGTAAGTTCTAGTACAAAATCCTCTATGGGAGTACCTTATAATAGTAATAATAATGTCAGGACAATTCACACAGCGCCATCTAGACCCAAGTTAAGCTAGCTAAAGCTTGTGTTATGGGTACTAGACAACTGATACAAATACATAGATATGTTTTGTTTCGTATTTTGTTTTTTTTCAGTTCTTTTTTTATTGTTAATATATATTTACAATTTGGTGTTT